GCTTTATACAAAACAGAAACAGAATTATACACTTCTGTGTATAAAGCGAGAGAGGCGAGCGAGAATGGAGAGTGGCGAGCGAGATTTTTGGGAGAGAGACGCTGACAAATTTTAGCTAATGTTTGCTATGGAGCACAATTAAATCAAACCCTAGCTATTCCATTTAATTTAGGTTATTAGTTTACTATTATATATAATTTTCCCTATTATAAATCCCTACTGATAACATATTGCATAAAATACTCTTTCGTTCAATAAATTATATTCCAGTTGAAAAAGTCTAATTATTTTTAAAATGTCTAAAGTAACGTTAATTAGATTATCACATAATATAACGTATATAACACAAAATCATTATATTTCTATCATTTGAAAAGCATATAATTTTGTAAATTTTAAAATTCTTTATTAAATTAGCACAATATATACTACATGACACGATAATAAATTAAATCGTGGATGTTATTTTTATTATAAAAGAAAAAGGTATATTATTTTTTTCTTCTATACTTGCATTCTTCACTTGTTTGCTTAAGATGATTTATTCAAGACTAATAAGAAATGCAATTCTCTTCATGCTTTTATATTTATATATGATAAGAAAGATTAATTCTCATAATTTTGTTGTCCTTGAATTAAAAAATGTGTATTTATAAACTCAATCAAATTATAAAATGAATATACTTTAATTGGCATGGATATCTAAACTTTATTGTAAAAATCAAATTTTTAACTAAGCAAAACATATAATTATTACATAAATGAAAAATAACACTTAATCTTTGATCCCCCACCACAAATTATAATATGTAAGATAATGTAGCGATGATATTTTTTACTAGCTAGTTTTTCGTAGTTAATTAATATCTATATAAAGACTACATGTTCTTAACATTTTCTCACCATTTTATTTTCAATACTTATTGCTATTTCGAATTTTAAAAAATATGGGTTTGAAAGGCAAGTTGATTGCTTCACTGGAGGTGAGGGGTGGCGGACACTTGATTTTTGATATCTATCACACTAATACTCATCGCGTATCAAATATAAGCCCTAGTATTGTCAATAACTTTGAGATTCATGAAGGTGAAACTGTAAAAGTTGGTTCAATTGTTAGCTGGAATTATAACGAAGGTAACACACATTTTTCTCTGTGTGTGTGAGATTTTCTTGCATCAATTTTCTATATCTCAAATATTTTGGAGAAAAAAAATTCATGAAAAATTACTTATGTCATATCAAACATAATATAATGGTAATTATAATTTTCCAAACTAATTTCCATGTTCTCCACAATGTAACTCTATTCAGGAAAGGTTATTCAATATTTATAGGCATTAAATATTTTTTGGGAAAAAAAAGTGAAAAAATGAGAAGAAATAAGATATTAATTTTGATTATTTAAATCTTTCATGAGAAATGAGACCGCTAGTAACATTTTTTGTATTTTTTATTTTATTAATTACAGATGGACAGAAAAAGATTGTGAAACAAGTAATTGAAGCCGTCGATCCTGACAAAAAATTAATCAAATGGAAAGTGATTCGGCGATATATTAGAATCGTATAGTTTCTTTATTATTGTAACATCTTGTGAACATGAGTGGGCTACATGGACTTTTGAATATGAAAAAAAAACTGAAGATACCCCAGAACCCCTCAGTTTCGTAGGTCTTATTCTTGACGTTACCAAACATATAGATGATCACCTTCTTAAGCAATAGAAGATATATCTATGTTGTGCTATATGTGTGTACACACATGCATTTTTAGGGTGCGTTTTTATTTATGTGATGAATAATTTACAATGTCGGCTAATGTTAGCTAACATGTAAAATAAATAATATTGTGTTTGAAGAATATATTCTATGTTTCTCAATCTCCGATTATCATTTTCAGTGACCAAAATATGTAAGATATATGTATTTTTTTTTATAATAAGTTTATCCCCCGTTCTTTATTTTAAAGCAATAAATTATGTTTTTGAGATCTTGTAGTATTAGTTAACGGTACTATTTGGGATCTTTTAATATGGATTTGAGTTGAAAAATGAGGGGCTGAAAATGTATTGATTTGCATGTCTCTTGCTATGATTTTTTCTATTGAAGAAATTTTCTAGTTATTTCATTATTCGTTTAATTGCAATTTTGATTGTCAAGTCGAGATATGAGTGTATAGGGCGTTCATTTCTCTGTGATGGGTTCTGCCATGTGAAAGCGGTGAACAACTAAACTATGATACTGTATTACTAGATTTCGCCTCTCCTTTTACTGTTAAGTTTTGCTCCTATTCTTTAAAAAGACGATCGTTAAAAAAATTGAGTAAGATTATATGAGAGATTTTTCGCCTTCGTCTCTTCAATCTCTTTTCGTTCTTTTGTTTTCCTTTTGAAATTTTGACAAAATAAAACTTGCGATTTACTCTCAATAATCATAATTTTATGACATATAAATTAAAACAGAACCAAAAGAATCTATAAGTCCTCCGCCTAAATCACCTAACATATAAAAAAAATAAAAAATCATCACCTATAAGACATTGCACTTGCATTTGTTGCATACTTTTATTCATAATCTCTTGCTCTTTTTTTCAATCTTGACACAAATACCCTCAAAAGTTCACATCTTTTCAGAATCCGCCCCCACCCCTACCCCAATCCCAACCCCTACCCCTACCTCACACTATTTCTTCACTAACTTTTTTTCTCCTCCCCATTCTTTCTTTCTTTCTACAACAAAGAAAAAATGTTCACTAAATATCTTTCGCTTTTACTTCTATTCTTATTACTATTTCTCGATTTCATCGCATCAACGTATGGACAAGTGTGTCCATATCCATGCTACCCTCCTCCAACCGGCCACGTAAACAACCTTCCGGCGGCTATAACCCCACCATATCCACCACAAGGGTCTAATTATAACAATTATCCACCACCAACAAGTGGCGGCGGCGGCGGTTATAGTAATTTACCAAATTACCCTCCACCTAATAATGGCTATGTAAATGGTTTAGTGCCACCACCTCCTGATCCAATATTGCCTTGGTGGCCATATCGTTATAGAAATCCTCAAAATCAATATTCTTCATCAAATTCAATTCAAGAATCAAGAAACATGATGATCACTATTATGGTTCCAATATTTTCATTTGTATTTCACTTTGCTTTTCCATTAAGTTAGTTTCTTTGTTGTAAATTTTCTTATTCTTTCTTTTTGTTTTATAATTGTGGTGGTTAGACCATTTTACGTATATCGTAATTTTTTTAAATTTTGTATCGACTATCTTTCATTAGTATATATATATTAAATAATATCGTTAATAAATTTTTTTTTAAAAGATGGAACAAAAGAAACTAATTGTCTTTCTTATGTCAAATTTTATGGTTAAATTCTTCGTGGTATGTCAATTCAATGAATACATGATCATGGACGGAATCGGCTTTAAAGATATAGTTTGATGGAATTCAAGTAATTTTTGTTGAAATTATTTGTTTATAACTTATAATTTGTTTAGTATTAGGGGTAAATTTAGAATATTAGGTACTAGTTTTTGAGGGTTTATTAATTATTGCATAAATCTTATATTTATATTGAGGAATTTAATAAATCTATAAAAAAAAAGAAAATCTCAATGCACTATTAGTATGTAGCAATCAATTTTTTTAATTTTTAAATATGTGAATATCAAAATTCTAAAATCTAAATAACTTAATTGAGCAAATAAAAATTTGAAAATTTTAATTTAAAAGGAGTATTCTATTTATGGAAAGAGGAGTTATATTTTCTTGATTTTGAAGAAAAGGGGGGACAATAATGTGTGACTTTACCTCTTGTAATTTGGATGTTTCTATATTTCTCTTTCTTTGATCCAAAATTTTTCTTTAAAAACAAATATGATAATTTGCATCATATTATTTGGATAATTTGTATATATCACATAAAAATATGTTTTGAGTTGTTAGACACACAATTGAACACTTCTAGTGATAAGATTCAAAGAGCCCTCCACAACTATTTAATTGGACCTCTTCATTTTGCAACTTTTTCTTTTGTTTTTATTAGGCGGAGAAAATTAACGTGATAAAATTAGCTCATAAAAATATAATTCGTTTCAATTTGAAAAAGTTAATAATATGTTTTATACATTATTTAACTCAATCAATTTACTTTGTTTTAAAATTTAGAATATTTTGAGCTTATTATATAGTACAAATTGATTTAAAAAATCTTGTTCAAAAAGGGAAAAGAAAATTATTTAGTGCATATATAGTCATAGTAATTAAAAAATAATATACGAAAAAAATAAAGAAATTATAACTTATTCTAAACTGAACGGATTAAACTATGAATTCTTATTTAGCTATTATGATTCAGTTCATCTCTGTGAGGGGAAAATAGAGTAGTATTTATATACACACAAAAAAAAGCTTTTCAGTGAGAATTCGTTTTCTATTATACAACACATTTTTTTTTGATTCGCGATTGAAAAAAAAAGCCTCTACTGTAAATTGTTCTTCTCTTTTATTTGGATGTTATTGTCATTGTAGCAACAATGTAGGAAATTAATGTTGTCCTTAGAAGAGAGTAATTTATGTCTAATATAACTTAAATTTGAGGTGTTCAAAAGTCTTAATCTCATGAAGGATTTTGCCATTTTCCCCTATTTGGCCTTTAAGCACTCTAAATATTTAAGTAACAATTAAGGGTTAATATCAATTAATTTATGGCATCAATTGGTTAAATGATCTTTTATGATAGAGACTCTTTAGCCCCTTAATTAGAATACTAATTAAGAGTCAATATGACTATATGAGTATTAAAACAAATGACTATGGTTGAGAGAGACCAAAAACCTACCCAATAATAGTCCTAATTTTGACATAACTTTTTTTTTATTAAATTAAAAGAAAAGAGATTAGTGTTTCCTTTTCTTCAAAATAAAGTTTTTTTTTTTCATGGAGTGGGTATATGGTGTTGGTGAATTGACAAAATTGCCATTTAACCAAATAAATTTGCAAATATTGTAGTACTAACTTAGTGATTTATTTGGAGTTTTATTTTTTAATTTATATTTTTATAATAATAATCAATATAGAAAGGCGAAGTAGATGGATATCCGATTTTGATGTTGATATTTCACTTGTACTTATATATGTTTGAATTTCTTTTTTTCTTCATGTGTTTCTATTTTGGGAACAATATTTGATATACTAAGTATAAAATCAATTATGATAATGCTAGAAGTTTTATAGGACATATATTCATACACATATGACTGAACTTTAATCATTTTTATTAAGAGTTTATACACATATATTGTTAAGGTTGAGAAAATTGGTAAAAACTTAAAGTCAAGAGGTAAGGGGTGAATTGAAATTTTGTTTTCGCAAATTGAATTAACAAGCAAATTATAAAGTTTAAGTATTAGAAATAAATAGATACTCATTCAGATCATAAATGTGGTGACTAGTTTAGTCTTTTTAGGTTTTAGGAATTTCTTTTTAGAGCTTCTTGAAGATCTTGTGAGTATATAGTAATTGGTTCTTGACTCGATTTAATCTCTACTTATATATCATATACATAGCTTTTCTTTTACAATTGTAAACTCGAGAGAATACAAAGTTTTATGAAAGTCAAAAGGATAATTTTATACAAGTTCAATTAAAGTGCGTGATTTTCTTTTGTTGATATTGACACTATCATTCGACATGTACCTATTTTTTAAAAAATTATTTAACATGTATTATAAGTTTCGTCTTCTTCTTCCTCCTCTTCCTCTTCCTCATTCGAGTTCGATAACTATTTTTGTTTGTTGGTCTAATACAAATACAAGTCCAAAATATTTGGGCCTATTTAAAAGTTTAATGGGCCAACTCTATGATCTCTTACTCAAGCCCAATTTATGAGAGTATGATATTTGAAAGGAAGGATAAATTTATATTTAGTTTGCAAATTGCAATAATACCCAATTCAAATGATAATATTTTTTTTAAAAAGAATTCGAATTTTGAATTTCTTCAACAAATTGAAGCCTAATTTTTTATCATATATTTCAAGGACAAATATTAAAACTCAGCACAAAAAAAGGATAAAAATGCAAATGATCCCATTTGTATCTTTTTATCCTATAGCTTCAAGCCCAAGGCCCAAAACTTTTATTTTTGCACATCTACAAAGCAATTGGACCATGATGAAACATAACATCAACGTAAAAACACCCTCTATTCCAATTTACGTGGCACATTTCATTTTTTGAGAGTCAAACAATTTAAATTTAATCGAGAACTTACGTATGAAATCTTCAATTTGTTCGAAATGAAATTTATATATTTGTAAACTACGTGAAAAGTACTATAACTCACAATAATTGATAATTCAAAATGTATAAAGGATTTATGAAAAATACGGTCAAAGATAGACTTGTTTGAATTTCGAAATCTGAAAAGCCCCACATAAAATGAAACGGATGGAGTAAATATTTAAGATAAGACGTGAATATCTTGTTTTTATTAAGGAAATTTAAGTTCATTTCAATATATTTGTATCGATCTAGAATAATAATTTTAGTGTTGTTCCTTTCAAGATATAGCAATTTAATAACATCGTATAACTCAATCAACCTTGAATTAGTTGAATAGTTCAAAGTTCATCCTTAGAACACATTTTCAATATAAAATTACTCTCTTTGCATAGTGAATAAGTCGGAGACTCAGAATATTTTTCTTTGTCTCAACTATATTAACCTCACTACAAACTATAATAATTTTTTGTCACTACTCATGATAATTCTCTGTCCTTTTTCACAAAGAAAGAAATACCATTATTTATAGGCATAAAATTCTTTCATAAATTAATTATCATGGTATGAGATAATGATATCAGGATAATGCTAAATTGGATGAAAATTTACCCAGAGATTTTTAAAAATTATGATACTTTTTTAATGTTAAAATTTTTAATTAAAAAATTTAACTGATAAAAATATTCAAAAGAATATAATAATATAAATAAAATATCATTGTGCTCAATTTTTTTGATCAAAAAATTTTTTCTATAAACATTGAGTTGGTAGGTAAATTAGTGGGTAAATCATTGTATTGGTGATTACATATGTTACGTCAACAAATGACAACTATTTTCTTTTTATAAAAATTTGGACCATTTCTCAATATTATTTTAATTTTATCCAATGTCTTCGAAGGGATAACTACTACCTTCAATTACCAAGACAAACACATGAAAGTAATTTATTTTTTTTAACATCATTGTCGTGAAAAAAGGAAGTACATTTGGCTGAAATAAAAAAAGAAAATTTGAGAGGTGTAATTAAAGAAAATGTTACCAATGTAGATTGTGGTGTACTAATGGGAATATTTCACTCTTAAATAGAGGTCTCGAGTTTGAATCTTAATTAAAAAAAAAGAATTCAATTGAGAATGTCACCATTTAATGAGCCTAACAGAACGCAACCCAAATTTAACTAAAACTCTAATGTAAGCTCCAAACACCGAACAAAAAAAAGCCGTAAAGGGATGAAAGAGCTTTAAGAACATGTCGACTTCCACAACTTTCATATATAAAATTTAGCTTTTAGAATGTGCTGTCCAATTATGCTTTGGTTTTTAAAAGCACTCTCTCTATTTTATTTCCCACACGATGTTTAATATAAAAAAAAATAACTTTGTATCGAGGAAAAATTAAATTTAAAATTTCTGATAAAAGTAAATTTGTATCAAAAATAATTGTTTCAATCTATTTATTTAATTTATGAAATTAAGAGACTTATCTTTTTTTCATATATACATAAAAAACTTTGATACTGATATAAATAACTAAATCAAATAGTAGTCATTCCATTAAAATTTTAAAATATTATTAATAAAGTCAATTAATAAAATATAATTTTACTTTAAAATTATTAAAAAATTTCACGTCAACAAGAACCAAGTAATATAAAACGATAGATAAGGTAGGGGCATATCTTTTATCAAAGTCTTGAATGGTCCCATAGCATGTTTGTGGTTCACCCTACAAATGTAACATGACACTCATTTTCCTCTCACTTTCACACATGCATGTCACTTACTACTACATCTATTAAATTTAATTTTGTCAAAAAATTATTCAAAAACACTTCATAGTTTTTTTCCTTTTTTTTTTTGGAATTCCCACTAAGTATT